AATTGCATCTCATTTCTGTGCAGAACGTGGATTTATCCAATTAAAGAGATTCTTCTCACAAATTGAGATATTCCAGAGCTCATTATAGAATTTCAAAATTGCATCTTGTGCTGCATTTGATTTTGATTTCCTCTCTTGCTTTTTGAGCAAGAAATCTGAATAATTTTTTACAAACAGGCTTTTTTTTTTTTTTTTGAGTTGGAGTCTCACTCTGTCGCCCAGACTGGAGCGCAGTGGCCACTCCCGGCCACCGCAGCCTCGACCTGCTGGGCTCCGGCGATCCTTCCGCCTCAGCCTTCCGAGTAGCCGGAATTACAGGCATGCGCGACCACGTCCGACTGATTTTTTGATTTATTGTAGAGATGAGGTCTCGCCAAGTTGCCCAGGCGGGTCTCGAACCCGCTGGCTCAGGCAATCCACTCGCCTCGGCCTCCCAAAGCATGGGATTACAGGCTGAGCCACTGAGTCTGGCTCAGGCTTATTTTTCAATAACCTGCTAAACGCTTCAAAAGCTATGCATTGAACATCTTGATTAAAGACTTCCAATGGATTGGGAAGAAAATTCAACAAAAATTTAGAGATCGGTTTTAGCAAAAAACTTAATAACATATTAGGGCACTGAGACTCAATATCCTCTGCAATTGATTGAGACTGGGAAGCAGAAAAAGGCAACACATGCCCAAATTTAGCTTTAAAAACGTCATCAACAACTTCATCACAAAAAGCGTAGAGTTCTGTGAATCTGTGCAAAGGTTTTAAAATTCTCAAATTTCAATCGGTAGAAGATTGAAACTTATTTGTATGCTATTACAAATTGTGTGTGCACCACGACCCGTTCAAGTTCATTTCGGTTTCACTGTTTCTTTTTTATTTTTGTGACCCGGAGTCTCACTCTGTCGCCCAGGCTGGAGGGCAGCGGCCGCTCCCGGCCACCGCAGCCTCGACCTGCTGGGCTCCGGCGACCCTTCTGCCTCAGCCTTCCCAGTGGCTGGAACTACCGGCGCGCGCTACCACGCCCGGCTCATTTTTTGATTTATTGTAGAGATGAGGTCTCGCCAAGTTGCTCAGGCGGGTCTTGAACCTGCGGGCTCAGGCAATCCTCTCGCCTCCACCTCTCAAAGTGCTAGGGTTATAGGCATGAGCCACTACTGCCAGCTTCACTGGTTTCTTCTTTTAGTAAGAATACGGTTGTCGAGGGAATTGGCTTAGCCCACGGGTTCGAGACCAGCCTGGGCAAATTGGCGAGACCTCATCTCTACAATAAATCAAAAAATTAGCTAGGCAGGGCGGCGCGTGCCTGTAGTTCCAACTACTCGGAAGACTGAGGTGAAAGGATCGCCGGAGCCCAGCAGGTTGAGGCTGTGGTGGCCGGGAGCGGCCACTGCACTCCAGTCTGAGCGACAGAGTGAGACTTCAACTCAAAAAAAAAAAAAAAAAAAAGCATATGGGGCACAGTGTCACCACGACACTGTGCCCCACCAAAATTTGTATTTGCGTTATCCTCACAAAAACACAATAACTTTATTTCCCATGTAAAACATTCAAATTGAATTTGGAATAGTATTTGCATAAGTCCGCTGTTCCACTCTGCAAGAGTGAACTTCCCAAAGCTCTGCTTTGATTCCATGAACTGGATGAAAGAATTAAATCGTGATCAGAATTAACTGGTTTTTCTCCTTGGAGAATCTGAGGGCGCCAGTTTCCTCTCTGGAAAGTCCTTATGGAGTCAACGCATCATCAGCCATCACCTCCACTGTCGCATACGCACAAGAAAAACCAGAATTAATGCGCGCTGAATTAACTTAAAGAATAGTCGGTCAGGGCTGGGCACGGTGGCTCACACGTGTAATCTCAGCGTTTTGGGAGATTGAGGCGGGAGGCTTGCTTGAGCCCAAAAGCTCTAGACCAGACGGTGCAACACAGCGAGATCCGTATCTTAATGATAATAATTAGCCCAGCGTGGTGGCATGCACCCGTAGTTCAAGCTACTTGGGAGGCTGAGGCCGAAGCCTCAGAAGCCCGTCTGAGCCCAGGAGGTCAAGGCTGTGGTGAGCTGTGATCGTGCCACCGCACTCCAGCTGGGGCGACAGAGTGAGACCCTGACTCAAAAAAAGAAAAGAAAAGAAAATAGTCATTTGATCTGAGTGAAAAGTCATACCGCTCAGAGTGATCTTGACGGCTATTTGGGTGAAATCTGTGTCTTGGGGCACAACCTTCTTAGAATGACTAACTTCTAAAGTCGTGCTTTGTGTCTTAGGTTTTCTGTGGCCAGTGAAATCGCCACAGAACCCGCAGTGGCAGAAATGTCAACACACACTTTGCACAAGTCACACATTTGTCATCGACTTCCTTAAGAAACAGAAGTACAGTACTTACATTTTCATTAAACATTTGGTTTTTTAGCTCATTGCTGCCAGAAGGGTCTGTTGCACATTTTAAAAGCATTGCCAAATAGTAAAATAAACAAAGAGTGGAGTTCGGCCCTGCAAAAAATGACAAAGCCAGCGTCACCAGAGCACCCAGCCCCCTCCGTGCGCTCGGGCCACAGCGGCCCAATCTCCGTGCGCCATGGTTATGTCACAGCCTCCAAACATGTGTCCACAGACCTGGCATCTGCAGCTCAGCTGTCCTCCCCGGCTGCTCTCTCCCTCGGTGACTTCATGCCGTGTTGTGGCTGCAGGTGTCACTCATGTGATGACAGCGTCCAATGGCGTCTCGTCGTCTCCGCTCTTGTCCCCAAATGCCAGACTTGTGCATCCAGTTCCCGCTGGCCATGTCCACCTTCATATGTCCCAAACTGAAGTCCTGCCTGTTCCCCTAAAGAAACCGCCCCATCCTCAATCTCATCTTCCTGTCGGTTGGGGACAACTTCATACTTGCGGGGACTCGGACCCGGCACCGTGGCCTGGTCCCACTTCTCACACCTGCATTCAGCTGAGAAGCTTGGTGGCACTGCTTTCAAAATGGCTCTAGGGCCGGGCGCGGTGGCTCACGTCTGTCATCCCAGCACTTTGGGAGGCCGAGGCGGGAGGAATGCCTGAGGCCAGGGGTTCGAGACCAGCCTGGGCAACTTGGTGAGAACTCATCTCTACAATAAATCAAAAAATTAGCCAGGCATGGTGGCACGCAACAGTAGTTCCAGCTCCTTGGAAGGCTGAGGCGGAAGGATGGCCGGAGCCCAGCAGGTCGAGG